TTTTATTATTTTTGGTTTTTAATTTTAGTAGTTGTCAAAATTTTAGAAACATCAAATTAAAAAAAAAAATACTAATAAATTAAAAAAAATACTAATTTTGATTTTAAGTTTTGAAATTTGGCAAGTATTTCACAAGTTGTTAATTTTAATTTTTAAAATTGGATTTTAATTTTTTAAATTTTAAATTTTAAATTTTTTTTTGATAAAAAATTCAAAATTAAAATTCAAAAACAACAACGTTAGCAACAGCCCTTAAATTTCATCCTCTGTTTTAAATTAAATGTATATACTTAATTCATGGTAGAAGTATTACATCTACCCATCTAACTATCTAAGCGTTTAATTGTGGCATATAAGGACAAAAGAAAAAACCTTTGCATTGTGATATCCTTTTTTAAACTTTCAAATTGCATATCATAACACTCTGTAACAATACCTTTTTGTTTGTGATTGACAGCCTCATCCTGATGTCAAGCCAATGGCATAAGCAAACAACTTTCTTCGGTTGTTCCAATAACTTATATATTTGTCTTCAATGATCTATCTTCTATAGTTTGGGGGATACAAAAGCTCAACTGCTAAACAGTAAGTTGCTTGAGCTATTTAGCAGTTGAGCTACAGAAATAGTGCTTGTTGACTATGCTGCTTTGACTAATAGTTTTTTCCTTTCTAGGAATCCCTTGGGAGGAACATTCTTTCTACTACTCTTCGTTAGTTAGGAAGTTCAGGCATTTCGTCCATTGTTGAAATTTTCCTTTGATGTCAATCAGAAAGGAAGCTGATGGTGCCTTGTAAATGTATGACCCCTTTTATCTTTGTGTCTATCATATTTGTTCCTATTTATGCGAACAATAAATTTGGTGTGTTTCTTTGTTCGGTATGCATTATTCTTGCTTAAGTTTTATATTGCTGCTGCTTTGATGGTGAGGGATGGAAATCTTGTCCCCATTTCTAATAAAGTTTACGGTGCTCCAAGCAATCCAGTCTCATGTAGATTACCTTTATAGCTTTTTTTTTTTTTTTACAAGGACAATAATTAAAGATTAGTATGTTAGAAGTGTTAATGGGGTAATGAACTTGGGACATAGCACTTGGAATGCTATCTTTATAACTATTAATAACCTCTTAACTATGAAAATTGGGTTTTAACCCAAAGTACCAAGTATAAATATTTGAATGTTTAGGTAAGTATTTAGTTTACAAATTATACTTAAAAACTTTTAAATCAAATATTAAGTATATTTTATACTCAACTTGTATTTGAAAAAATATTTATCCCTAACTATTATTCCTAGAGTAATGATTTACGGGGATGAATTTACGAGACGATTTTAAAAAATGATAAGTGAAGTAATTTTAATAATAATTATCAATTTAACCCTATTTTCACTTATCGTGCCTTAAAATCATCTCATAAATTCCTCCCAGAGATTATTACTCTTATTCGAAAGCTCAATTAATCGAGCCTACTCTTAAAATTTAGGAAAACGGGAATTGTTTTTTGAAGTTTTTAATCTTGGCTAAATTGCACCCTATTCGATGCAGTTAGTTTTGTTGACTTCGATT